GAGCGATCAACATAGTAACATAGGATGACTATTTATCAGCTGTTATTACTAACGTCAAAACAAACCAAAAATTAAATAATATGATAAGTTTTTTTGGCGATATTTAAATTCGATTTTCAAAATAATGTGAGATAATCAAAACGAGATGAGAAATAAATGGGTTTAATCGGAAGGTTTTCTAATTCAGTTATTGAATAAGTGTAGTAAACAATATAGGTTACGTGCTTGTAAGAAATTTTTATAAAAAACCGCATATTAAGTATGATATGGTCTCGTACACTTTCGATTAATAATTCATCGGACATGTTTAATGTAAAACCGCTCCACTAAAAACAGTCGCTCGGCGTAGACTATTCGCCCCATCCCATGCATTCTCTGATTTCGCCTGATGGCGCGAGTACCGCCGATAGCTCGAAACGTACCGAGCGCACCGATCTAATGCGGTGCGCGGGCTTACATTTATTTCAACGTAAACTGAAAATTACGTGTCGCTCGCTCTCGCCGATACCTATTCAGTGCGCGCGGAGCTTTAAGAAGCCATACTATGTCCCTCTTCTATATCTTTGTCCTGCACCATCTTCTGCAGGTCCTTGATAGGATGGGAGCAGTGTTGCCAGAATGGAAAGATTTCCTTCAATATAAAGGATTTTACAGTCAAATTTCGTCGATTGTATACAACGGCTGAAGGAATTTATCCAAAAAGACGACAATATTAAAGTTTCTGGCAGTTTTACACAATAAAAATTGTTAAAATATGTAGTAGGAGTATTTATTGTTTTTTCTACATCTATTTTTTCACCACCACACCCAACGCACATAGATATTTGTTACAGTTTTTGAGTTACGGAGTGTTTTTCAAAAATGTGCATTTTTAACAAATCGCTGTAACTTTTTTGCTATGGAAAATTTTGTATTTTTGTAAATACATTTCCAAAGCACCTTTTTACGTAGAATTTAATGCTTTAAGTATACATTTTTTAAAATAAATAATTTAGGAGTTATCAACAGAAAAATTGATTTTTTATTCGGGACATCCTGTATATTTTTAATTAAGTAAAAAGAACTTAAAATTACCTTTCCAAAAATATAGCACACTTGATATTTGTTATAGTCCCCTTCGAAATACAGAATTTTTAAAAGTTCGCAGGCTTTGGACCATTTCTTGATGATCTGCCCCTAATGGAACAAGAAAACATATTTTTCCAGCAAGACGAGACACCGCCTCAGAACAACGAAGTTATCAGCAAATTTTTGCAACTAATTTCGAGAATAATTGAATAGCTAACCAATATTACAGCCGTTGGCCGTCGAGGCCGCCGGACTTAGTGCCTATAGATCTTTATCTTTGCGGAAGAATAAGTATTCTTATTTTTATATTGCTCGTTTAATCTAGACAAGAATTAGAAGTACTTGTTCAAAAACGAGAAATGTTGGGTGTTTCCCTTTAAAAGCGTCTAATTTGACCACCACCCTGTACATAGAAATTCTTTAAATAAATATAGTATTTTAAGTAATTTAATAAAAATTAAAATTAAAAAAAATCGGAAAAACACTATTGTGAATAATTTAAAACAATAACTTTCGAACAAATAAGTAAAAAATTTCAATATTTTGAAATCGGCGCTATTGATATTTATTTAACTTTCGACTTATTTAATTATTATTCTCTGTTTTCAGGTATTTTCGTGGAAAATCGTATGTTGGAATCGGATTATAAACAATTTAGCTTTGTACACAACCGATTGACAATGTAATTTTGCATATATTAACCTCTTAATTGAATAACATTGTCAAGTTGCAAACACAATTTGAGCATAATTCCGCTACGCGTTGCGTATTTGTCGATAATTGGATGTTAAACATAATCCAGAAAAGCTTTTAAAATAAACATGGATGACTGATTATATTTTTAATTTGGAGTATTGTAGCCAAATGATAGGATTTTCAAAAATTGAGTAATAGGATCGTTGGAGGACTACTAAAGCTACGATTTAAATTATTTTCAAAAGGTATAGAGTGTCCCAAATAACGAAAAAAAATATCAAAGTTTTATTTTTTTAAATGGAACACCCTGTATATGTACATTTTTAGTTTCTACGCCAAAAATAATGGTAAATTTGATTAAGGTTTACCGCACTTTAATCTTACCGTTTTTGAAATATTTACGATTTTGTGAAAATGCAATAACAATTTTAATACTTCATTTCTCTAGGCGTATACTGAAGTTTTTCTATTTACTAAATTTTGTGTTGCAATAATAAATATAATACTACCTTGTCTATACAGAGTGTCTAAAAATTTATATTAATTCATTACTAGCTTTAAACGCCAATAACTTGTTTAATTTAAACGGAACACCCTATATATTTTACGCGAATGAGATGCACAATTTAATTGTCTATCAAATTGTATTATACCATTTTTTATCTATCTCTTCAAGTTTTCGTAGAAAATTCATCTTCTTGTAATTTAGACCTAATTGATTAATATACTAGCGTGTATCCGCGACTTCGTTCGCGTCGAATTAATCATTTGTAATGGTGATGATAAAGCAAAGCAAGAATATAGAAAACTTGGTAATATTTGAGGGGTAGTTTCACCGCGTTGGTATTTGACTTTCGAAAATCCGTTTTCCAAAAATCAGCTTTTTACGTCAAGCTCTTTAAGCAGGATCGTGATTAATCAATGACCAGATTTTTCGAAACACCCTGTATACATTTTTAAAAAATCTTAACATATGTAAAAAAACAAAATAAAATATACGTGTTTAAGCGTTTTTTCGGAAACTTGACCGTTTTTTAAATACAAAATATTATAATATTTGAGGGGTGGTTTCACCCCCTTGGAACTGGAATTTGGAAAAATCCCTTCTTATCGAACCTCTACACCCTAGAATCAACATGTATGCCAAAATTGAGCTTCTTACGTTGAGTGGTTTGAGCAGGATCGTGATTAATCAGTATGTCAGTCACTTCAGGATTTTATATATTAGTATAGATACCCATGGAATTTTGACATTTTAGACTATTTTTAAAAATGTAACAAATTTTCAAAGAGTACAAATACTAATATTGTCGATATAGTACGATAAACCTTATTAAATTTACCTTTATTTTAATCATAAAAACTAAAAATGTAATAATCTACAGGGTGTTCAATTTAAAAAAATACAACTTTAATGAAAAGTAAAATATATTACTCAGGAAAAAAAATTATTTAATTTTATAAAAAAAAACAGAATGATCTTGGTGACAAATTTTAAAGATTTTATATAAGAAGAAATCTCTGAAAGGGCTTGCAACCTTCATGAATATTAATAAAGTAATAAAATAACTTAACGAATTAGAAATTAGGTTACTTAGTTGAAATTTATGGGCAAATACCCCATTAAAATTGGGTGGGACACGGTAATAATAATAAAAAACCTTTTTCATCAATATAATCCCATTAATTCAGGAGAAAAAATAAAAAAAAGGACCGAAAAAAATTATTCCTTTCTCTGTATCATCAATTTGCGACAATTTCTCCTTATTTCCTTTAGTTTATCCGTTTTTCTTTTTGCCGTTATTTTCCCTTATTCCGTGTCCATCTTTCGGGACCCCAAAATAAAATAAATGTCAGTCAATTTGTAAATGTCTGACCCGTTTGCTGACGAGAGATGCTACCTCGATGAAATTTTTATGAGATTTGTCCTGATGAGAAAGACATTTTTATGAAGTTGCTATATCTCATAAATATAATTACTATTTACAGAGTGTTTGGATTTTTTTTTAGTTTCTAGTTAAAAAACATAATTTCTTGATAATATGGCAGCATACCGGGTGTTGCATCGTCGAGCGGGCCATAGGAAATCCCATGTAAATTTTAATGGGGTCAATTATTGGCTTCCCTAATTATTTTAGAGAATAATTCTATTTAGGTTTATTGAAGAGCACTAAAACCCACATTCAAAAGAAGAACTTTAGATATTTTTGATTAGCTCGTTTACGAGTTATCGCCCGATTTCTTTTTAAATATTTCTCCTTTCTTATGGCCCTGTATTTACTTATGAGCACCAGTCAAGTTAAAAGATAACTGTCAAATGAAGTTGTCATTTCAGAAATTTACCTATTTAGTGCTTTATTATTATTGAAAACTCATTCCTACATCGGAAATCTTAAAGATGTATTTATAAATACAAATTAATATGAATTAAAGTAAAATAAAGTAATCAATTACACGGTTAATTATAGTATTATTACAATATTCAATAACTTGTTAATTTAGGTACTATTAAATTGTTAGAACGTTAGGATTTAAGAAGATGTTCAAATATTCCTCCATCGACTGCTAGACAATAACCCAGGCGATCATAAAATTCTCTTCGTACATTCGCTAGTTGGTAAACTGAAATTCAGTATTTTTTCTGAAGAATATGCTGCCGAAGTTTCCGGAATACAGTTCAGACCACCCTGTAGATAAATTAAGGCTATACACGAAGGCATAAGATAAATGTTCCTTAAAACTATATCAAATTGTACTGTCAAAATTGATTTATTATTCAGCCTTTTTTAAAATTTCAAGTATTACGGAAAGTGTCTGTTTCGAGGCATTATAAAATTCTAAAACGGGACATACTTATATAGAGAACATTTCGTGTAATGCATTGCGGCTCTCGTGGCACTTTTCCTCTTTTTATTGAGGTAATAAAGTGGCTGCCAGCTCATACACGTACGCCTCGCAGCCAACTTATCTTATTTACGGTCATAATTATACAGTGAGCTTGACAAAATTCATTTCAGCTCCGGGAGTGGTCCTTAAAATTAAATTTATACAGTTAATAAAGTGGGAGTGTCAAATATTAAAGAGCATTTTACCAAAAAAATAATTAGTCTTTGACTATTTTGAGTCAGAAAAAAAGTTTCACGAAAGATTTTGTAAAAATTAATATACCGGGTGAATGACTTAATCATATTTAAGGGACTGATACGCATTTTTTTAAATGTAAAAATAATTTTTAGTTTTTGGTCTGAAAACTTAATAAAACTTATAGAAGAAAAAAAGCGATCCTACCAGAAATGGCTCAGTACCCACAGCGACCACGACAGAGAAGAATATGCAAGATTAAATAGAATAGTTAAACGCGAAGTATCTAAAAGCAAAAACAAAATATGGGAAACCAAATGTGAGAGAGTGGAAAGATATATGGGAGGTACAAGAGTGTCAGAAGCGTGGAAGACAATAAGGAACCTTAGAAGAGACGAAAAGCAAAATAGTAAACTAGAACTTATAAGCATGGAAAAGTGGGAAGACCATTACAAACAGTTACTGACAAAAAACAGGACAGAATTCAAACTAGAAGTGCCAGATTTGAAAAACGCAAAAGATATAGATGTAAATGAAATAAGTGTAAACGAGATAAAGAAAGCATTGAAGAACTCAAAAAATGGAAAAGCTGCGGGGCCGGGAAACTTTTTAATTGAGCTAATAAAGCAGGGACCCGATATATTATTGGAAATACTAGCTGATATCTTAGATGCCTGATAAAAAACGAAAACATTCCTGAAGACTGGAACCTGGCGTACATCAGCTCTATCTTTAAGAAAGGAGACAAAAAAGATGTAGCAACTACAGAGGCATTAGTTTGACAAGCTCAATAAGAAGGTTGTATGGCAGGATATTAAAAGGGAGAGTAGAAGAGAGCTTTGAAGAAATAGAAGAACAAGGTGGTTTCCGCGCTGGGCGTTCTTGTACAGACAACATATTTGTGTTACAACAAATAATTGAAAAAAGGAGAGCTCGAAATTTGGACACGCGTCTGGTGTTTATAGATTTAGAGAAAGCCTATGACACGGTGCCTTTGAAGAAATTATTTGAAATCTTGGTTGAGGCAAATGTAAGTAAAACATATATCAATGCAATCTGGAATATGTACAAAATTCCAAAAAGTATGATCAAACAGGGGAAGTTCCTATCGGAATCCTTCCTGACATCTAAAGGACTTAGACAGGGATGCAGTTGATCACCTACCTTATTTAAAATATATATCCAGGAGGCATTGAAAAACTGGAGAAGGAAGAGTAGAGCTATGGGAATAGAGATTGACAAACACTGTCTATCGACCTTGTTCTTTGCAGACGACCAAGTTATTGTTGCAGGTTGTGAGGAGGATGCCGACTATATGTTCAGGAAACTTGAAGAAGAACACGACAGATGGGGACTCAATATCAACTTCACAAAAACCGAATACCTAAAAGTAGGAGAAGAACAAACTGAAGATCCAGAACTACACATACATGAAATTAAAAGATGTAGCGAATATAAATATTTAGGAAGTATTATATCTGAAGAAGGGAACTCCAAGAAAGATATACATAGTAGAGTTCAACAAGGTAAGAAAGTAATCGGTCTTTTAAACCCTCTCCTGTGGTCAAATAAAACATCCATCCAAACAAAGATAAGGATTTACAAAGCAATCGTAGAGCCAATTTTAACATACGGTGCCGAATGCTGGCAATTTACAGCAAAAGAATGAAGGATGGTCGAGTCAGTGGAGATGGACTTTCTCAGAAGAGCATGTCGAATATCAAGGATGGAGCACATTAGAAATGAGGAGATCAGGCAAAGAACAAGGCGAATATATACCAGCACCGACAACATCGAATCGAGACAGCTACTATGGTGTGGGCACGTAAAAAGAATGGGAGGGGAAAGATGGCCAAAAAGGGCAAAAATTGTTCGACTGTATCTCGAAAATCGTATTAAAATTTTCTAAAAATTAATAAAATCTTTATCATATTTTGAAGCGTTTACTTTATTTACATATACGTATATTTAAATTATTGTATATTTGCTCTTTATTTTCAACAAAATAAATATAATTTTCTGTTCTGTATTTTCATGCTAATTTTGTTTGTTTTAAAATGTCAAACGTTTTAAATAATTCGTTTTTCTACAAAAGAACTTAATTTTGACCTTTATAAAACTTTCATATATTTTTATTCAGACTAGCTCTGAATGATAAAAATAAATATAGGGTTAGTTTTGAATTTATGTTTTTAATATATAACTAAAAAAATCCATTTTTTTTTTACTTTTTAATTAAAAACCATAATTTCTTGATAATAATATGGCAACATAGGTAGTAGATTAAATTTACAAGAAAGAAAACCCAGAAAAGACCCAGTAGTTCTCAAAATGTAAGAAAAAAAAATTTTTTGGAAATTTTCAAATTAAGATAACTAGGTTATTTTGGACTTATTTGAAAAACGGTAAAGAGAAAACATGCTTCTTTTGTCGAGATCTACTACTATGTAAGACTCACCCTGTACAAACACAAGTAATAATTTTCTATTGCTATTTACATTTCTTTGGGGCTTTTTACCAAGAAAACTCAGATTTTATTTACCTCCTCTTCTTCATAATATTTCACTTAGCCATAACATAAAAAAGTACGGATTTTAGCATTTTTTTATGTTCCTTATTTTACAGCTCTAAGTCATATTCATAAACATTTTTAATAGAACTTCTTATACGTCCGTTTTAAAATATTTTGAGAGATCAATATACCCTCTCTTTTTTTCTCTATATCTCACTTAGGAAAAACATAAAATTCTTAATTTATTTTCTAACAACTCTAGGTCTTCCTTTTAGACAAAATATCCCATCATTTTACTTTAAAACAGCCCGGTATAGGGTCATATACCCTCTTAACCATTCATAAGCCCTTGACTTTACTCCTCTATTGTGCTTCTTATACACAAGAGTTGTTTTACAATATTCGGTCCGTCCCGACTGTTCAATTATAATTTTCATTAGTTCGAATTGGGCACAAGAAGGGCACTAGACGTCTCGATCTTGCCCCGACCCGAAAATAACCCTCTGACTCTATTAAACATCTCGGCAAACTATTCCCGAATCCCTCAGGAACCTCTTCATAGTCCCACACCACAAGCCAATATCGAAACTCGTATTTGAATACGTTAAATCGAGTTTTCGATGGTATTTCCGGGTGTTTGGGGAATACTGGTCAGAATTGGCAACGTTGGCTCGTTTTTTAGAGGTATTATAAGCGATACCAATGAGACTTAAAGTTACGTAATCTAGGGTGCGATTTTTATATTCATTGTTGCCAACCAAGTACAAATTCGGCGCCGGGTTGACTAACTGGAATTTAAATTTCCCTTTCTGCTGTAAAAAAGATCAAGTTGCCAGATTTACTTATTTATTTCTTCTTCTTCTTCTTCTTTTTCCTTCTTCATACTAGGCGAATCGCCTGTTTGGTTTCGTCGTCTCTACCGGTTCGACTGACAAGTTGTCGCTCCATCGTTTTCGTGGACGGCCTAAGCTTCTGCGACCTAGCGGTGATTTGTCGCGTGCAACTCTCACTATCCTTCTGTTGTCCATTCTGCTGATATGCTCGTTCCATTCTTCATTTCTGCTGAGTACCCACTCTTTTACATTTTCCACCTTGCACGCTCTTCTTATGCATTCATTTCTCTCCCTGTCCAGAAGCGTCTTTCCAGCTATTCTGCGTAGTACTCTCATTTCGGTTGTTTCTAGTAGTTGTTTAGTTTTCGCTGTATCAGGTCGAGTTTCTGCAGTGTATGTCATTATTGGTCGTACCGTTGCCATGTAAATTCTCGCTTTAGTCTCCACCTCAATGTTTTTATTTCGCCATATTGTATCATTCAGGCATCCTGCTATTCTGGTTACCTTCGTTGTCCGTTCTCGCACCTCCGCTTCTACATCACCATAACCTGAGATTTCTAGGCCTAGATACTTAAACTTCATCTCTTGCTGAATAACATTGCCCTCGACTTCCAGTTTGCATCTTAGTGGTACTTTTGATTTCGTCATGCATTTAGTTTTCTGGGTCGATATTATCATATTAAGTGATTTGGCAGTGCAATTAAATCGATGTAATAAGCGCTGTAGATCGTTCTCATTTTCAGCTACCAATACGGCGTCGTCAGCATAGCTAGAATAGTAATTTCCTGGTCGCCCATACTGTATCCCTTCAGTAAACGTACATTTCCTATTATTTCGTCCATAATGATGTTGAAAAGAAGAGGGCTCAGGGAGTCACCTTGTCGGATACCACAGCCTACATTTATTGGTTCGGTCAGGACCCCGTTAATTTTAGCTTGAATTTGGTTCGCTTCATATATGTTTTGTATGGTTTTAACGAGGTTGTGTGGGATTTGCCTATTGTAAAGAAGGTGTACAACGTCTCTTAGCTGCACACGGTCGAACGCTTTTTCTAAATCAATAAAACACATATACGCTGGTTTGTTATATTCGATTGATTTTTCTGTTATCTGTCTTATGACAAAAACCGCGTCTGTGCATGATCTGCCCGATCTGAAACCTTGCTGTTCATTTGCTAAGCATGTTAAGTCGTTAATTTTGGTTGTTATCACTTTTGTCGTAAGTTTTAGTGTGGTGCTTAGGAGATTTATGCCTCTATAGTTTGAGGGCAGCTTCTTATCTCCTCTTTTAAACATCAAGATAGTGGTGCTGGTTCGCCACTCATCGGGTATCCTGTGTTGGTAAAGAATATTTTGAATCAGGGATGTTTGGGATATCATCTTGCCCTGGGCTCTTCCTATTCTTTAGCTTTCGAAGGGATGTAATTATATCGGCTGCCTCAATCTGTACGTTGTCGTTGGTCATTATTTCGGGTGTATTTAGTTCAACCTCTATTTCTTCTGATTCTGATTTGTATAGTTCCTTATTATGCTTTATATTTTTAATTTTATTAATAAGCCTTATTTATTTATTAATAAAAAATATTCTAATATTTGAGGGGTGGTTCCACCCCCTTAGAACTCGAGTTTCGAAAAATCCCTTCTTATCGAACCTCTAAGTCACCCTAAAGTCAATCCGTTTTCCAAAAATCAGCTTTTTACGTCAAGCGCTTTAAGCAGGATCGTGATTAATCAATGACCAGATTTTTCGAAACACCCTGTATACATTTTTAAAAAATCTTAAAATATGTAAAAAAAAAACAAAATAAAATATACGTGTTTTAACGTTTTTTTCGGAAACTTGACCGTTTTTTAAATAAAAAATATTGTAATATTTGAGGGGTGGTTTCACCCTCTTGGAACTGGAATTTCGAAAAATCCCTTCTGATCGAACCTCTACACCCTAGCATCAACCTGTATGCCAAAGTTGAGCTTCTTACGTTGAGTGGTTTGAGCAGGATCGTGATTAATCAGTATGTCAGTCACTTAAGGATTTTATATATTAGTATAGATTAGTATAGTCGTGATACGGAACCCTAAAAACACCCTGTATATACAGTATTGTCAACATCTTTCCAATATAAATCGTATTTCACCCACAAAATCAATACTAACGACTTAAAAATGAACGAACAATCCATGTCGCCCACATATTTTGTAAAGTCCATCTCAGAATGATAGAACAGAGTTTCCACTAATTTGAAAACTTTGTAGAAAGGGCTTAAGACAGAATTGCTGCTTTTATATACCGCCAGACCCTAAAAGTGCTGTTTTACTAAAAAGAGCAGTTGGTAA